AGACCAGACTGGCCTCTAACTCACAGAGATCTGCCTGCTTATGCTTCCGAATGCTGGGACTAAAGACGTGCACTATCACTCCGGCCACCACAACCACTGGCATTTATTTATTTTTTATGTATGAGTGCTCTGTCTGTACGTACACCTGCATGGGCATCAGATCCCATTATAACTGGTTGTGAGCCACCATGTGGTCATTGGGAATTGAACTCAGGTCCTCTGGAAGAGCAGCTAGTGCTCTTAACCGCTGAGCCATTTCTCCAGCCCCCAGGATTAACCTTTTTGAGATTGGCTTTTTTATGCTTGCCTTTGAGAGCCATCCAAATGATGTTCATTTTGTATCACTGTATGGATACAGCATAGTGGGCTTATCTACTCCCCATGTGAGGGACATTTGGATTGTCTTTAGGGTTTTTTCCCCATATGCAAAATGTTTTATAATCAACTTTTTTAGTTAGCCTAGAAAATAATGGATTTCATTATGACACTTTCATATGTATATATTATTGTACCTTGCTCATATTTTCCTCTTGCTACCCTCCCCCACCCCCTTACCGTTTCACCCTTGCCCCAAGTGTCTCCACCCCTTCACACAGAGTTCAATCTAAATCCTACATCTGTAAGACTGTGTCCAGTTTCGGATGGTTGCAAATACACTGTTTTAAACATTTGTGGACAGTTTGAGTCTTGTTGTTGTTTGATAAACAGAAGGTTTCTTTTCTCTTGGGTGGATACTTGAGAGTGGAATCATGGGTTGTATGTGAAGTACATGTTTAATGCCATGAGAGGCTATCAAACTTTTCCAAGTGACTGTACCATTTCACAATCCCAACACCAGTAATGAGACATCTGGTGGCTTGACGTCCTTGCTCACACTTGGCATGATCTGTTTTTATTTTAGCCACTCTTACAGGCATGTGTGACTTGACTATGTTTTCACTTAGAACCTTGTGCCTTGATCCTGGCCTTATGAACCATGCTTCCTGGAGAGATCTCTCATTCTGAGAGTTCATTACTGCCCCTACGATACCCCCTTCCCAGCAACTCCTCTATCAGGACAGGTGGAGCCTCGTATCTCTGACTTTAGTTCTTTCTAGTTGCATGCCATAATGCAGAGAACTTTCTTGGTAACTGGTGTTCTCAGTAATTGGTTGTATTCTCTTTTTTAAGAACAATCCCACACAGAGCACTGGTAGCCGAGTCAGGTGGTGAGGGAACTGCTGGGGTTACAGCTGGACCCTCTCTGCCATGTCACTACTCTTCATGGCTGACCCAAGATGTCCCTGAGCATGCCAGGCCTGGCTTCTAATTCTGGCATGAGTGCCATTGACTCTTAGATTTAACAAGTCTCTTAGTTCTGTGGGACCCCTGTATGTAGAGTGAGACCGGGGAGCAACATCTGCCACATCTCCATATTTTGCAGACTCAGGAAAACAGAATAGGAATTATAGCTGCGAAAATACTAAGTAAACTATTAGGTATGACTTATACCCCATTGCTATACAAACAGTGTTTGAAGTGACCAATAAAGGTCTTTAAATGAGGAAAATATACCATCAAACCTGCACATGCTTAGAGCTTTAGAGTGCTTGTGACTTTGTACGGCTCTGGTTTACTGGCTGCCTAGCTTCTCAGTCCCCTGCTTTAAAGACTGTTAGACACTTAGGTGGACTATTGTGATGAACAAATATTCATGTTTCCAGGTGTTCCCTAATGCTTTTCATCCAGCTCTGATTTGATTTCTTTGATAACTGTAAGTCAGTTGTGGTAACAGTTCACATGAAGAACAAGTTCCATCTAGTGGTTGTTTTAAGTATATGCTTTGAAATGTGTTTTATAGTCCAACAAGAAGGTTCACATTTACTGCCAAACCTGATGACCTGGGTTGGATTCCCCAGAACCCATGTGATGCAAGGAGAGAACCGATTGCTTCAATTTGTTTTCTCATCTCCTCATGCACGATGTCACCTTTGGTTTTCAAAGTCAGGGTTGATTGCTGGAGGAATTCAAGTTGGAGACATGTTAGCCAAGGGCTTTAATCACCGGAAGCCTGGCACTGGGTTTCTGCAGCTGTTGTAATGAGGCTTCCAGCCGCTGTGAGTGGAAACAGTAGATACAGCATGGGCCTTGGGTACTGGCACATCAGCTTTACAGAAACAAGCATTATAGCTCTCGGGCAACTGATATTAGGGCTCTCAACTTGGGGTGTCTGAGACCTTGGTCCTTAGAGCTTAGAAGTTCCTGAGACCTCTTCCAGCGACCAGGACCCACAGCTTCTCTTCTCTGGCAACAGAAGTCACAAACTTCCGTTGATTTTCATTTTAGGCTCTTTGTCCTATCTTGCCTTCTCTGCTTCCACTGTCCTGGTTCTTTCTACGCTCGATGACCTTTGACTTTTCCAGCTGCCCTTTTGTCCCTGTGGCTCTTGATGGCGGCTCCCTTTGCAGCTGCTACCACCACTCTGCTGATGCTTTGTCTTCCCGTCCCGTCACCAGCTCAGCCTACTCTACGAGGACAAAGACCAGAATAAGGTGAGAAGAGACCACCCAAGAGAAGCCTGAGTTGGAGGGGCCCAGAGGGTGTTTAGGGTGAAACTGCTTTATCTGACGTTGGAGGCATGCAACTATAAATTTGTCTAAACCCATAGACTATACTCCATCAAGAATAAATCCCAAGGAGCCAGAGAGATGGTTAAGAGCTCTTCCAGAAAACCCACATTCAGATCTCAGCACCCACATCCCATAACTCATAATTACCTGTAACTCCTTGGAAGTCCTTTCAGCCACGAAAGACAGTTTCACTGGATTTAAGACCTGCTTTGATCATTCTTTTATTCTTGAGCTAAGAACAAACAAACAAACAAACAAACAAACAGACAAAAAACCAAAAACCAAAAACAAACAAACCTGAATCCTCTCCCCTCGGGCCTCTGTGGTTTCAGATGAGAAATTTGTTGCCATCCCTGTAAATCTTTCCATTGCATTGGTTCTCTCAAGCTGCCTTCCAAATTTTTGCTTTTAGTTTTTGGACTTTGAATTGTGATACATCTCAGTCCATTCATGAAAGTTTTCTCATGTGATAGACTCATCTCCCAAAGGTTCTTACCTCCAAATGCATCTCTTTGGTGATTAAGAGTTGAAAAGGGAGAGGACCAGCTGGGCAGTGGTGGTATACACCTTTAATCCCAGCACTGGAGACAGAAGCAGGCTGATCTGTGAGTGCCAGGCCAGCAGCCTGGTCTACAGAGCCATAGACAGCCAGGACTACATAGAGAAATCCTGTCTTGGCGGTGGCGGCGGTCAGGGGTGGGGAAGAAAAGAGAGAGGACACAAGTTTTCAGACCTAGCACTTTCTCATGGAGTTCACAGACTTACTCTCTGTCACCTCCATAGGTGCCATTTTCAACAGAGATGTGTTTTTATTTTTTAAATTAATTTTGGCTACTATATTTTTCAGTTATATAATTCCTATGTAATGCCCCTCCTTTCAAACAACTTATATTTCTTTGGTGAGAATTTTTCCATTTGTTTTAAGAGAGTTTGAATTTCTTACTGTAATATTATTTTGATGCTTGTTTTAAGATCATGACTCTAATATTTCAGTGTCTGATTATGTTAGGGTTCTGGAGAAGTCCCACAAAAGACTACCATCCATGTATGCAATCAACACGAGTATTTATTACCAGCATGCTGAGGCTGTCCATCCTACATAAAGGCAACCTTGAGAGAAGCTCACAGGCTCCTTTTAAGCATAGCCAAGGGGAGTTTCAGGGACAATTAGGTCATCTCAGATATGATTGGCTTATATGAGTAGCAATCATATTAGTATGTTCTAATTGGCTAGGGCTAGTCAGGGGCTGGTTAAGGCTATAGCTTTCCCATTTTTGGACAAGTTTGGACAAATCCCAAGCTCTGTCCTTATTTGGTTATTGCCTTGAGCTGCTGTGGAGGCTGGCTAGCCTAGTACACACTGACTGACTGTGGGAGCTGACTGTGGCCCAGGCTTGGCACATCTTATCTCCCTTGTCCCTGTTGTCAGGGGCATCAGTGATTAATTGCCCTTTGTTCATGGCTTCCTCAGAAACTGTCCAGTTTCAAGAGGCAGGAATTAAGGCCTAGTTTTTAGCTGAGTTATTAGGACAGGCTGTCATGATATTTGCCTGGCCCTCTCAGATTCATCTTGGTATTGCCATCATACCGTCACAGACAGAGGCTAATATCAACCCTGGATGAGGTTCTTCTAGGCTTCTGCTGTGATCTGCATGGAAATATTAGATGACACAGAGGAACCTCTCCTCCTAGGTTTAGGCTTGTTGAGAAATAGATGCCAAGATGGAGCTAGACATGCCAGAGACTTAATGGAGGAAAATAACTGTGAAGGACAAAAGTATTGGGGGATTGGTGAAATACAGATGGGCAGGGTGGACCCTGCGATAGGAGACAGGAAGAGAGCTTCTTGGATAGTCCCTGACACCGCACAGTCTAAGCCTTTGCCACAGTTATGACAGAATGTGGGTAGGGTAGGAGAAAGGCAGAAGTTTCACACTGGACAAGAGTAGTTTTGACACTACTAGGTCAAGCTCAATCATCTGCCTGGATAGCCAGACAGGAGAGTAACTTCCCAGTGACTCTGAACTTCATTCCAAAGCATGGCAATGGAGCCCCTGGACTTGACTCTGAATAATTCTCCCCACACTCTCACAGTCCAGTCCTTACACCACATGGGTTCTCCTCTCTGCCCCTCTCTCCACAGATTCTATCCTTGAGTCATTCCAGGCTGCGGAAGTGTCTGCAATCTTTAAAGCTCTGTAGAGGAGATGGAGCAGCAGCCTGATTTTAACTCAATCTTATCAGGAAGCCCTCCCTTTTCTCCTCCCAGCCGACCTCAGGTGTTGTTACCCACACAGGGCAAAAACATCTGTTCTCCCAGAGCTCTGGATTTGGTTCTGGCAACTTACAGACTCAAGGTGTTAATGCCCGTGTGGTATCGTTTCTGTGCAGGTATGATTTAAGTTTGGATGAAATGAGAGCTTTGACAAATCAGCGAGTGAAGTTTGTCCTGAGTCTCCCTCTGTTAAAGCATGTAATCCAGGAGCAGGTAAGTGACACCGTTATTTCTGCAGGAGTGTGTGCGTGTGAATATGTGTCTCTCTGTGTGTGTGCCTGTAAGAAAGCAAGACATGTTTCATTTGCTTTTGCAACTTGTGTAAACTCACTAGTCACGGCCCGAAGCACTAACACAGTCATTATAGAGCAGAGCGTGTTCTGCAGCCCCCTCTCTGCCTCAAGCCCCAGACGGGGTCAGTTTTTTTGGGCCACGTATTTACTCCTCTCAGACTAGAGAAGAAAAAAAATCACAACAGAACTAACAAAATGTCCATTCATAAAGCTGGTGTAACTCAGGTCATCAAATAAAAATTGCTGACACATGACGAACAACTCATTAAGAAAAAAAGTTGGAAACATTTTAGACTTGTCCAAAGTTTATGAGTCTTGGTCATCTAAAAGTTGCCACTTTTATGTCACTGATACTGTTTTAATCAGCTTAGCCTCATGATAAAGAAGGAGCGGAAGAGAGATGGTGAGATGGGAGTTTCCTCTGCCGTGCTAGTGTTAGAAACTGTATATTCTATAGTTCTAGATCCACTTCCTTCTCATCCAGCTCAACGGTTTCCTTACGATCTCACACAGGAAAAAGGCACTTTCCTTCAGAGCCATGGGGAGGGGCCTGAACAGAAGTAGACCTCAGTGTGGGAGATGCTGAGACTACCTTGCAGGAAGCTCAGCCTCTTGAGAGGTGGGGGTTTTCCTCTGTGGCTCTCATGGAGTACCAGTCAGAGCTGGAGTTGGGCTCAGATCCAAATGAGAATAGATCTACCAATCCCTCACCTCCGAGTACTTGTTTTGAGGAGATGTAAGGGCTGACTCTAACATTTCAAGAGGGGATTTCAGTGCCTAAACACAACTTCCCCTTAATGTAGCCAGCAACCTTGAAGCTGACTACACTGCTCTTCAGTGGAGAACATGTGGAAAGATGTTTACTTGGAAAAGACAACCCCCCACATAACAGAGCACATGGTTGGAAAAAGCAAAACAAAACCATGTTTCATTATAGCCATTGCTCAAGATTTTAAAGCTAATAAATTGCCAATCAATATGTACTTAGAGCTGTGAGTATACCTAACCCTCCTGTTGCAATTATTTTCCATTGGCAACTTATAAAAGGAAACATTTAATTTGGAACTCATGCTTGCAAAAGGTTAGAGTCCATGGCTATGGTTGCAGAGTGTAGCCAGAAGTTTCTCCAGTCCCACCCAGCCCTCCGTGGTCCAGACAAATCTCTCTCACCCGAGGTTCCATAGCTTCTTGGACCTAAGTAAACACACAGAAGCTTATATTATTTACAAACTGTATGGCCTATGGCTTTAGCTGCTTGCCAGCTAGCTCTTTCATCTTAAATCAACCCATTTTTGTAAATCTATATGTTGCCACGTGGCCGTCTGCTGACATCATATTGCTCCTTCCGCAGTGGGCTTGCGTCTCTCTGCTTCTGCCTTTCTTCTTTATGTCTCTCTCCTTGGATTTCCTGCCTGCCTCTAAGCTGTCTTGCCATAGCAAAAGCAGCTTATTTATTAACCAATGAGAACAACATATGTTCACAGCATACAGAAAGACATCCTCCAGCAGTAGAGGGTTCGAGTCTATAGCAGCAGGCAGGCAGGCAGACATGGTGTGAGAGCAGTAGCTGAGAGCTTACACCTTGATTTACAAGCACAAGGCAGAGAGAACTAACTGAGAATGGCTTTTGAAACCTCAAAGCCTGTCCCCAATGACACACCTCCTCCAACAAGGCCATTCCTTCTGATCCTTCTCAGAGAGTTCCACCAACTGGGAACTAAGCATTCAAATACATGAGCCTATGGGGGACAACCCCTTTTTGCTTTCAATGCTGTCATTAGAGACCAGAATTCATTCACTCACTGTGGGGTTGGTGGGAAGGTAGACTCCTGGCATGAGACCAGCCCTCTGCTCCCTTAATCAACCCATTATACCTAGAGCTCAAACTAATGCCAAGACTCAAGACACTAATGTGGAAGTTGATCCTTTAATGAGGCTTGATAACCGCTTTCCTACTTGCTGACTCTGGAGGATTAACCTTTGTAATTGAATTCTTAATGAAGTGTGTTGAACCCTCGATTCAGTTACCTTCCTGTTTTTGCAACTCCCCTGGTGGCTTTAGACAACCTGGACCACTTTCTGTCCTGGATGAATGGATCTAATTCCTCCATGAGGCTCAGGATTAGCCCTTGAGTATCCTTCTGGTTCATCTTCTGTTAGTTATTTTGACACATTTGGCTCCCCCTCTGTGTGAATCTGCAAAAATCAATGAAACCGAAGGAAAGCCAACAGTTGTCAGTACAGCAGGCACATCTCATTGGGCAGATGTTATGAGACTTGGCGGTACATCTGTGTTTGAAGGTTCTCAGATCCCACCCTCAGACAGCTGGAAAAGCTGTCTACATCCCAGAACCCTAGAAGTGTTATATGATTCATGCTGCCTCTCAATAAAAAATATTGAGTCATGGCTGTCCTGCCCATTCAGAAAGCGTATCAGGCCTTTCCCTCTTTCCCCGGCCCCTCTGCCATATTGCTGATTAACTTTCATGGGTGAGCCAGTGAGCTCAGAGGCAGAGTGCAAGTGTGATGATGTTTTCAGGCACACACGGTCCGGGATCCTCACTTGTTCCAGTTCTCTACAGACAGTCCACAAGCCATTCAAAATATTTCCATTCTGTGTCTGCTCTGTAAGACACAATGTTTCAATAATCTTAAAGGGGCAAAAACATTATCTGAGACCAACTAAAATGTGTGTGAGTGTGTATATGTTCCTCTCTCCCTCCCTCTTCACTTCATTCCTTTCTCCCTCCTTGCGTGTGTGTGTGTGTGTGTGTGTGTGTGTGTGTGTGTGTGTGTGTGTCCGTCCCTGTGTGTCTCTTTCTGAGTGTCTTTTTTATCTCTAGCTTTCTGTATCTCTCTGTGTGTCTGTGTGTCTCTCTGTATGTTTCTCTTTCTGTATCTCTCTGTCTCTCTGTCTCTCTCTCCTCTCTCTCTCTCTCTCTCTCTCTCTCTCTCTCTCTCTCTCTCTCTCTCTCTCGTGTGTGTGTGTGTGTGTGTGTGTGTGTGTACATAGGATACATAGTGTGAACACCATCACTGCATACTATACCGACACCTCCTATATTGGTTTCTAGTAACATCAGCTTTGTGTACCTTAGCCAAGAACTTTCTTGTTCCCCAGGCAATTCCAGGGTTGGGTCCTAGCTGGAGGCACTGCTGCCTCTGTATCCCTGTGAAGAGATTAAAACCTTGGGGTGATTGTCCGCTCTGTGGCAGGCCTGGGATGGGAGCTTTCATTCCTTCCTTGGAAGCTGTTATGGTTTGAATGTGAAATGTTCTAAGGGTTCACACACTCGAGTGCTTGGCCCCCAACTTGAGTTTTGTTTTGGGAAGTTATGAAAGCTTTGGGACACAGAATCTAGGTGGTGGACCTAGGCCATTGGGGGCAAGCCTTGAGGGTTACGACCAGACCTTCTTCCAGTCCTGTTCTCTTTTAGTTCCTGAAACGTCCAGGTTCTTGCTGCCGTGAACTCTGCCATGTTCTCTTTGCCTGCCATGATGGACGGAGACCATGAGCCAAATAACCCTCTCCTTTAAGTTGTTTCTGTCAGGAGAAAAGTAACTGACACAGGAGCCTGGTCACGTGTGTGGCAGCATCTTTAGAGACACTTGTCCCTGGAAGCTGATAGAGACTGATGGTCTATACAATCATCATAACAGAGAATGATGGCACAAACTTAAAACTCACATAATTTGCAGTAACAGCATTAGGAACTTTGAACTGGTAATTGTGCTAAATGTTCATCACATTGTTCATGGTGCTCCCAAGTACAGGTGAAAAAGACTGGTGATTGACTTGAGGGGAGTGGTGTCAATTGTATGTGGAACTAGTTGAGTAGATTCAAGCCCAGGTTATTGACTTATTAGGCTTTTCAGCCTGATGCTGCTATACATTACAGCCAGCTGGGGAGTGTAGTTGTGTGGTTAAAAATTCTTCTAGCAAGCCCCACCCCTGACCCAGAAACTATCTCCAATTAATAATGTCTCTCGAAGGAAAATTCTTCAATGGAGCCTCACTGGGCATACAAACAACACTTAAGGATAAGCCTCATGCCCAATATTGGATGGCCAACACAAAACAAACCCAGTAGTATTTTGTTGTTTATTTTTTTCCTCTTAATTCTTTGTCTGGGCACTTAAAAAAACTGTCTTTTGCTTATATATTATGGTTTCCAATTTTGTGTCTTTATAGGATTTCTGTGTGTGTGTGAATGTGTGTGTTTCTGAATTGGTATGTGTTTTTTTGGTCCCCCCCCATTTGTTTCTTTGTTTTGTCCTAATCTGGTTTGTTTCTTATTTTATATTGCTATTATTATTACATTATTATTATTTTAGATGCCTGTTTGTTTTCTAATGAGAGGAAGAAAGGGCATGGATCTGGATGGGTAAGGAAGAGTTGGGGGAGGAGAAACTGTAATCAGAATGCATTATATGGAAAAAAATCTATTTTCAATAAAAAACTTCTTCTGTCTAGACTTTTGCCCTGACCAATGAAGTTAGCGTTTAAATCACTGGGTGATTCAGAATGCACTTAGGGTTTAATACTGCTATGCCATGCCTTCTTCCTGGGACCCTTGCAGTATTCCCCCAAACTGCTCCCATTCATCAGCCAGTCTTTCTCCTAGTAATGGCCCAGGGATGGCTCATAGGGACATTCTAACTCAACATTTCCTTCTCCCAGGAAGGAAGCAGCTGGGGTCAGACTATTCTTGGCCATGTATGGGGCTGGCTGGAGATAAATTCTTGGATAATGAAGTACCCACCCCATGGCTGCTCCTCACCTCCACCATCTCTCCTGAGGCTGAAAGAAAAGTTCTCCCTGTAAGACCCCATGCCATCGCCATCCCGATAATCTGCATGGGGAGGGCACTGTACCATGACCTAGACCAGCGGTCCTTAAGTATGCATGGTCTGAAGATC